ATATATATTCTAAACTTTTACTTAAAAAATCAAGAAGTATATGAAAATATTTTTAAATATAAATCGAATATAATTTCCCAATAGACTTGGGCTGCGTTTCACTTAATGCTCGACGCTCGCAATACTTGAGCATCGTTTGTTCTTGTTTATTATTTGATAAAGGATGAAATCTTTCCATCATAAGTGAGCATTGTGAGTGTTAGTGAAACGCAACCTTGATATTGATTATACATTTCAGCTATTTTTTGTAAGATGATATCTGAATTATTAATGATAAATTTTATCAAAAACTTACCAAGAACACCATATTGTTGCGGAGTAAGTTTTTCATTATTGTCTGGACCCCCTGGCACAGAGGAGATGAGTGATGCACGATCACTAATATGACTTCTAGTGCTGGCTTCACTTCTTCTTGCCCAAGATGCTTGTGACAATACATCTTGATGTAACAAAAAAACATTTTGCTTTATTATATAATTATTAATAAATTTAAATGTATTCAAGTTTTACATTGCATTTAACTTCATAATTAAATTGGTTTATGTAACGTGACAGCATATCAATAGTATTACCAAAATTAGCATTCTTAATATTTCCTAATCTTGTTTTGTAATCTCTGTAATGCCTTCTGGAAGGTGGAATAGAGTGTCTTCGTCGTCTCTTCAAAAATTGTGCCAGTCCTCCTAGTAATATCGAACCGCTAGTGAAGCAGATAATAAAAATCTGAAAGAAACACATACAACTAACAGACTTATACTCGTGCCATTAAATTTAAATTTTAATAATAAAATCCCCGTGCAATTGTTACCCTGACCTTATAATTTTTTTGCATTATTATGTAATAATCAAGTGCAAATAGTAAAAGTATTTACTCTAACCTTGAGAAGTCGCCGACTTCGCTCTTACCTTTTGTGTGCGAGATAAGTGTATTGCCGGTAATGAGAACATGTAACGCTGATACAACGTGCCAAAGAATTGCCGCACGTTGAAAAGAGACATTGTCATTCACTTTGTTATAAACAACATTAACCAAAATTCACGCGTGCTATCGAATCCTCGTTGATCCTCGTTGCGTGATGCATCTGCTGCCATCTGCTGAACGTTACCATGGGTTCGTAATCATTCGCAGCTGGTTGTAAAACTTATCCGATAAAACAGACTACAGTCTCATAATTATATCGCTCTTCTTCTTTTCTAAAAATTTACTTATTTGATTTTATTCTTAAAACAGGACAGACTTGATCTGGTATTCAGTCTCGATGAAATTTCACCTGAGAGTAATAAAAAAAAATAAAATAAAATAAAATCCGAGATGAAACACATAGAATTTTTTATTTTTTTTCGTACAAAAAATATGCCTTTGAAAATAGCAAGAAAGTACTAAATTATTGTCCAGTCACATATCCCAATCACAGGAATCAAAGCATTCATCATCGACTTCAAGTAATTCTTTAATATTTGAAGGAGACGCTTCTGGAATTACTGGAGAAATCTCCATATCATACTGCGACTGCGATCCGGAGGACGAAGAAATATTGAAGAAAGAAGTCAAGTCTCGTTGCTTGCTATTCTGCACTGCGATGTCAATGTTATTTATTGAAAGATCCTGTTTAAGACCAACTGCATTTAGAATATCCTTTTTCTTGTTAAGCAACGGCCATATATAATCATCTGCAGTATTTTGCGCTATCAAGTATTGGATTGTGACAGTATTGTTTTGCCCGATTCTATGCACTCTGTCTTCCGCTTGAGACAAGATCTGGAAATGATTTCATACGATAACGTGGGATGAGTTTTATATATACTCTATTAAGATTTTCTTTTTTTGATAAACATTAATTACACCGGGGTTCCAAAATAATTCGGTAAAGACCACGAGATTTGCGGCCGTTAATGTAACACCTGCGTTCACAGCGGTGATTGACAGAATCGCCGCTAAACATTCATCACATTCTTGAAACTTGTCGATTAGAAGTTGCCTCTGTTCTGGACTAGTCTTGCCATCGATTCTTATATACCTGTCATAAATTGTCATAATTGCAATATATGACGTACTGGCAATAATTATAAAAACTTAAACAGATAACTACTCAATTTAGGCTCTAATGAATGAAATAATAAATTAAAAATTAAAAGAAGCCTTTCAAAGCTAACACAAATTATTAGTGTAAGAATATTTTATCAAAAAAGATAAATATATATACGTTTGGATCCTCTTCAATATAATCTTAATATTAAAAATTCAACGCTAAAATTCATCAGGAATATAATTATAAAAAGAATTATAAAAAGAAAACACGGTTATTTGTTAAATTAAACTTATTTGTTAAACTAAATGATTCTCACATCTACATCTTATTAATAAAAACTTACACTATATCTATAGATTCAGCAACTTCGCAAATAGCATCCAAAATAATTTGATGATGACCATACAAAATACATTTTTTCTTATTTTCAAATAGGTTTGTAACATAATTGCTGTAATGTACCAATGTTAAATTAATTAAAATAGAAATTATTTCCTTTCTTTAAAAATATAAATATACTATTTACCCACCGTACTGCTTTCACTCTCGCATAGCTAGACTGGGAATAATATTGTATTAGAGTATTGTGCCTTTCCAAAGCTGTAATATTTGTTTGCAATCGTTGCGACATCTCCTTCATTTGCTTGCCAGTTTTTATCAAATCTGAATCTAAAAAAATCACCTCCCTAAAACGCACAAATAAATAAAAATATGTTTAGACTTCTAATCAAGTTGCTGACATAAAAATATTTTCTTTTAAAACCTTATCTTAGATGGCATTTGATTTAAAACGTCAGCTTTCAGCCTTCGAATCATGCAATTCGACTTCAACAGCAATTGTAACTCTTGTGAATTTGAGGATCCCAGAAAGTCCCAACCATACACGGATTTCTGTCCTGCACAATAACGTATACCATAGTCCTCATAGCTGCAAAATAATACTTATAAAATATATGCCTATTTATATAAATAAAACAAGTATCAAAATATCTAGTCTTTCTAATTACCTCATAAAACGTGGAACAGCAAGGCTAATCTGTGTATACAATTCGATTGGTCTTGACAGAGCCGGAGTACCTGTGAGCAGTACAATATGACGTGCATGGGTACATATTCGACTAGCAGCTTGAAATCGCGCAGTCTTACTGCTCTTCAAAACGTGGGATTCGTCCTACAATTTCATAAAATGCAATAGCAACAGCGTTTATATTCGATTTATTAAAAAATGACGTATATATTTATATACCAGAATAACAAATCCATAAATATGTTTCGCAAAAATATTTTCGGCTCGCACTAACAAATCATATGATGTTATAGTGATTTTGTCATCTTCAATGCGATCTTTTGCGTGCTCAAATTGATTAATGTAATGTACAGGTACGGATGGTAAGAATTCACAGATTGCTGCAGACCAGTGGTATCTATATAAAGCATCTCTAATATTAATATTTTCATTACATCAATTTACAACAGAACTTACCTCACTGATGAAGGAGTTACAATAAGAAGTGGCCAACTTTCCTTATAATAATGTGCAATGCCTAACGCTTGTATAGTTTTTCCTAAACCCATATCATCTGCAATCATACAACGACCATTCTTCGATATACCATAACTGGAATAAATTATACAAAATATATTAATAAAAATATATGTATAAAATATGCATATAATAATTGCATATAAAAATAGATTTACCAAATACCCTCTCGTTGAAACGGCATTAAAGATTTTGTTAACTTTTCATCAATTTTTGATAAATCATGTTCTGGTAATTGAGTGTCTGACTTTAAGTTTTTTTTGAATATCTAAAATAGGAATATATGTGATTACATTTATAGTTTCTTAATGTATTTTTACTTTATTTCCAATTACCCGAAGGACAGCCTCTGGTATCCTTGTTAGAGATAAATTACAATGTTTAGAATACAATGTCTTTAACAAACTATTATAATCATTGAGATGAAAATTCCATATTCTAGATTTTGGATCTGTAAAATTAAATATTAATAAAAATTAGAAATATTCTACGCATCGAGTCAAGCAACTAGATTATAATTACCATATAATTTGCTTGGAACTGTTTTAAATGTATCAATAATTTCAGGTATAAATGCTGATAATTCTATAGCAAATCTATCATGATTGATCATATAACATTTTCCTGTTATAGAAGACACCATTGGATTGAAAAATTTTTTGAATTCTATAGGATTGAAACGATTATTTGTTTTGTTTTGTCGTACAATATTTTTGTTGTCATTTAAATTTGTTTTGTTTTGTCGTGTAATATTTTTGTTGTCATTTAATTTTGACTGTTGACGAATTTGATTATTTGTGGGTGTACTTTGTGCTTTTAATTGAGATTGCTGTCTCCTTTGCAATGCTAATAAACGCTTTTTCTCGATTTCTTCGGGAGTACACATTTTATCTACAAAAGAAATCATTTTTTAATTATTTACTATAAAATATTTCTGAAGATAAAATACTGTTTTTACAAAAAACTTTACCCATTTTATTTTTTTTGGCGTACTTCAACGATTACAATAAATATATATTATTATTGCAATATCTTAAACTATAATAGCGTCCCAAATTTATTTCCTACAAAGGATAATGTAACAAGTAATCCTACACCAATATTGTATTATTCATTATAAATATAAGTTATATTCGAATCATGCTTACCGCTGATAAACGCATTACTCTTATAAATTCTAAATGTTGTTAAATAAAAAGCGAACAATAAATTTATTAAAAATATAAATTATCATGCTCATATTTCACTATCACTATAAACAAAAATATATATATAGTTCTTTCGTACAATCGTACATCACCTTTCTTCACTAGTCACATGTGCATTGCGTAGCTTAATTGTTTTCCCTAAAGTTTCCTAAAAATTTCCCTAGTTAAACAGATGTGAGGCCAATATTAAGGTCATTCTTTGTAGTATCGTAGACGTCGCAAATCACAAGCTCGTTGCTTCAGCCAATCCGATGCTTCAATTTTAAGTCCAGATCTATAATAGGTGTTTAAGACTTAAGCCGTAAGAAATTGACCAACAACACAGACAACGACTACAGTCAAGTGCGAGAAGAATAATTGATTGTAATTCGTCCAATCTTTATAATTTAAGGCTTAAAAATCTATTCATAGATCCGGGGTAAAGTCACATGTTTACGATGTTTATGATGTTTACGACGCTTTTGACGCTATGATACAACAGTGTAGAATGGCCTTAATATTGGCCTGAAAGAGCAGGAAATTCAAACGCAAGATCGAAAAATCTAGTATATTATGAATGAGATTTTCTCTTATTAAAAATAATATTTTTTATTTCAATTAATATATTATTGAGGATATTGTATTAACGACGTATTTTATTAAAAGAAACTTTATAAGATTTTATCGTTTTAAGCTTTCGATTTTAATGAAAACTTCCTTTAACGTAGCCAGCGCGTTGCGTGCTAAAAAGTTGACAACTGATGATTTCGTTGCAAGGTCATGGGCATCGTTAATTATTGTTTCTGTCTACAGTTCGTTCATTTACGTCATATATGAGGTATAGAACAATCTGCGCGCAAGTGAAAAATATTTTCATTTGAAGTATTCTTATTGAGAGGTTATAAATTAAATTTCTTATTTTATTATTAGGTTAGGTTTTATTATTGATAATTGTTGAGTTTAGCTCCAACCTCATATCTTATCGTTTGCTGTATATGGGATAAAAAATTTTGACAATGGGTGACGGCGTCATTTAATTATATCTAATTGTTGCACCTAAGCAAAATGCTGTTACTGTTAAAAAATACCATTGCATTGCCTTAACGGAACTCATTAATATCTTAGCTGCATCCTCAAGCGTTCATCATGTCAACACCAAAATTTCCTTTA